TATATATATATATAGAGGAAAGGCCCATATTATGAGATACTGAGTTCATTTTGTGTAAATGCTAAAAATCTATGGGCAAAATTTAAAAAAATAATAGATCATTTTGAAGGGAATTTAATAAGCTTTAAGATAATGTTATGTAAAATTTAATTAAAAGTGTAAAAAAAGGCGTCAAGTATATTTTGCAGAAAAAAGATACCAAAAATAATGCCATAAAAAAAGAAGCGAAATCAAAATAATATTTCAAGTATCTCTATTTGAAAAGTCCCGTAAAACACAGTTCTCTGAACGGCATCTTGAAGGCTTTCTTATGATGTAGACGTCTTTTCGATATCCTTTAAGACAGTGTTGTATGGAATAATTTCTCACAATTATAATATACATATACTACACAAAGTACAGATGACATTTGAAGTGTATTAAGTATAACAACACTTTAATGAGAGAAATGCAATAGATAGCGTAATGAGAGGCGCGGAAACTGAAAAGGGATTTTTACATCGATAAAAAGTAGAAAAGTGTAGAAATAAAAAATCGAAAATGAGCAAGATCTCCAGCAGCAGCATACTTGACGCGCCCGTCTTGTTTATAATCGTAATTTAAAATAAAATTTGCTAAGACAGTCGTTCGCATCCTGGCTTGTCAGTAGTATGTAGATATCAATGACAATTAAAATTAATTACGATTTAATAAAATTTTTAATATTTTAATAAAATTCATATTATAGTATAATTCATTCTAATTCATTCTAATTAGGAAATGATATTAGCACATAGACAATGTAATTTTGAAATATATTACAAGGAATACAATCTATTTGATAATAAAATCCCTAATCCGCAAATGAGTCGTGCATTGTTTCTAAAAAGTTTCATTAAGTAAGAAATATAATATTTAGATTTCTGTTTTCATGAGAATCAAGTATAATTAAAGACAATAATATTATGTCGAGCAATAACTGCTAATATTACCGTAATAAATTTCAAATATTATTACTACGATAAAAAAATTTAAGGGTTAAAAATTTAGTATTAAGAAGTATTTAAAAAAAATTTTTTTTTATCTCATAGAAAAATATTTGTATGTGCACTTGTTAAATATGAAATATATCAATACTATAATAACAATTTGAATATATATAAAATTTCTTTAATTTTCGAAATATTAGGAATACAACTTTGCTTCCGCCGTTTTTTTTCCGAAATTCGAGGCTCCATTGTAAAAAACTGATTATACATTTATAATTCAAAGTATTGTATCGCTGGCCACTACTTTCTCCCATCTTTCGGGCGTACGAATCTCGCGTCGAAAAAACTGGTCACCTTTTGAAGCGATCCACGAATCGATCCAATTTTTTACTTCTTTATAAGACCGGAAGTGCTGGTCAGCCAGGCCGTATGCTATTGATCGAAACAAGTGATAGTCAGAGGGAGCAACGTCTGGAGAATACGGCGGGGGGGGTAGGACTTCCCATTTCAACGTTTTCAA